TCTCTTTCGGTCGCTTTAACAAAAGTCTCCTTGAAAATTGAAAGTAAAACTGAAATAGTAGATTTTCTTCCAACTTCCAAAACAATACCGTATTTCACACCAAAGAGCTGCATTATCAGCACTAAAGAGGAGGGTGTTTGTTTGGCCTGAGACTTTTTTCCCCATGACCTTATGAATTCTCATGACTGTGTCTTCTCAGCAAGAGAAAAGGTCTCTGAAAGAGTAAATAAAAACATTTACAAGAAGAGATCGGAGTACATAAGTATTGCAGAATGCAGGAACTATGAAGAGATTTTTTTCCATCATGTGATTTTGTCCTTAAAATATTTTGAATCTGCCTCCTGCAAATTATTCTAGTAAAATAAAATTACACCAGCAGCTGGGGGTGTTGGGCTGGGCAAAGGTTACATGTCATGTTTTCTCAAAATAGGTACTGCTTCATGGTTACATTTCTATTGTGCTCAGTAGTTCTGTTTGTTGAAGCCCTTAGGAAAACATGGTTACTACTTTTCCTATTGCATTAGTGAAAACAAATCACAAGCGGGTTTTTCTTTCGTTTTTCAAAACAATCCATGTCTAGAATACCAAAAAAAAAAAAAGGAAAATTTCATTCCCAAAACCTAATGTTTTAAATTACATTTGTGCTTAAGAAAAAAAAAAAAGAAAAAGAGATGCTAAAATGCAATTTAGACAGTACCTTCTTAAATATATTGTGTTTTTTTTTATTTCTTACAATGTTGCTAATCAAAAATCAGTAAGAGAATAGTCCTTCAGCGTTGTTCTGATATCACCTTGTAAATTACATATAAAGAGATATTTTATGAAGTTCATGGTAATTTCTATTTTCATTTTGGTTCACTAATTCGGCAACTGAGGACTTAATTGTAGTACATTAGATATTAGATATTAGAAGGATATCAGACTTCTGTTTATGTCAGGTGCAATTGCATTCTACTGCAATAGTCAGTAAGGAACAGTGGAAATAACTATAATTACAAAGGTAGAATACATTAAAAAAGTCTCTCCCTTCAGTTCCACTTATCCTTCCATATTATAATTTATACTGCCATATCTCTCATCTCACTGTTAGTGCTTAATCTTTAAGCAAGGCTAATGACACAGGGACAAATTGTTAGCTTTCTTGACTGATTAGAATAGCTTCATTGTACTACTTCATCTTATACCACTGGAGAGTCTAGCAAAAACAGACTTAACTCAGTGATTTAATTGCAGACATACAAGATTTCAGCAGGTACTGGAGACTCAGCAGCATAAGGGACTTCTGCCTGTCAGCAAATGTCATGAATGTCATGTGGCTGTTTACTTTTATGTATATTTAAAAACTTAATTCCCGTAAGCAGGCAAAAATACTATTGATCTGTTCAAATAAATAGCAGCAATTTTCCCTGAAACAAACACATGGCATAGTCACATCCATCATTTCCTTGGTAGTTTATTAGGCTTTTCTGCTTGGCAGTAACTGACTCAGCAATAAAATATTTTTAGCCCTTCATGAGAGGTTTTATATCTGATAAGGATGCAACCCTACCAAACAGAAAAGTTATTAGCCAATTTTAAGAATCTACATAAGAGCATTGAGAAGTCCTGAGCCTGGTTCACCTCTGAACTGTGCTATCTCTAACCATCTATCTGAAAAGCAAAGTCCTTCATGCTGGAAAAAAAAGAGAGGAGATAATGGAATAGAAAAGTAACCTTCTTACTCAGTTTGGTCCACAAATATACTTTCTTATTTCAGGATCCCACCAAGTTCAAGTGCCTCTATTCCTCTGACTGGAGACAGCCAGGCTGATGCTGACATCCTTGCTTTCATTAAAGCAAGACAGAACATCCTGCAAAAGAAAGGTAAATCCTGCCAAGAAACGGGAAGCCAAACCAAAATCTCCAGCATGTTAAAGCCAAAATTGCTTTAGTCCACATTTATACTGACACAAGTGAGAACTGATTCTGGCTTAAGTTATATTACATTGTGTTCTGAGCTGTTCTAAACACTTGAGGTTCTTCACATGTATTTATTTTAGTAGCTCAATGCTGCAGTATGAAACTATGAGGGCTGTCTTTTCTGAGCCACTATCAAGTGAACTTTCTGGGACATGCATATCTGTGCAGCCTGCAGAGTGTATTTCTTTACACTTAAGTAAATGCATTTGAATGTGGTTTCTTGATGATTAAAATACTTCTACAATTTTCCATACACATTTTCTTTAAACTTTTTGGCCTGGTTTTCAGCTGGCACAAATTTAGCTATAGCAACTGACACCAAATAAAGATTACTCAAATGATTACACTGTAGCCCATAAGGCAGACTGGCCCACTGTGGCTTGCAGAATATGCCCTTAGCAGGTATTTCACTATATCAAGGTCTAGTGAAACTTTTTATGGGCATTTGTCACCAAATCAGATACCATGGTCACCATCAGGTACCATGAGAGCATAAGCAGGCAGTGAAGTTCACTCTACAGTGCAGGTAAGTGAAATTAGCAGGAAACAGAAAGCAATAAATACACAACAGCGTCATAGTGAGGTAGCCTAAAAGTAATTCTTCATGATGAAGGAAAAAAAAAGACCAGTGATTTTTTTAGGGTTTTTTTTTTAGTAATAATTTTTAGTGGCAGCAACCAATTAGAAGACAAAAGCAGTAGTGGTTACTGAAGCAGCAACTTTCTATCAGCACATGAGTGCTGATGACAGCATTATTCAGCAAGCTGTCAGCACCTGGCAGGCAGATGGTGTTAGCACTGTCACAAAGTATCACAGAGCTTATCAGAAAGCTGTCAGGTAAACACACAGTGGCTGAAAAAAACAGCTGCCCTGCACTCATCCAAAGCAAACACTTAACACACTTAGGCTTTGGGATCCCTTTTGTCTTTATTTAGAAAAACTGTTGTCAGGTTTTTCCTACAAATGAATTAAGCTGAATTTATAGGCAGCTCACCAGAAGAAGGTTACAGATAAGTGTCTTACAACAAAACATTTCAGGTCTTTAGAAGGTTCAGATCTGACTCATTCTGTGAAGAACAGTGATCTAACTAACAAGAGCACATCTTGCCCTGTGTTCATCTTCTAAATCATACTGTATCAGGAATGTCTTTCTCAAAGGCCTTTTCTGTCCTCATTGTTTTTCAGCCACAGGCTATTACCTAGCATCATCCATCAGTTTCAGAAGGGTCTAGGCATTACCAACATTGACAACTATTAGAACCCAAATTATAAAAGGTATTCTTGCAGAACAAAGGACAATCAACACTTTTTAAATTGATCTGAAGTTCAGTTAGACAAAATGAGCTACATGCTGCCCTAAGTAGCTGGAAGGGAATGAAATAGTATTTGATCATCCTGGCAGTGCAAGGCTGGATGACTCCACCAATCTCTAAGCATAGGCAGGGGAACAAAAATGGAAGAGGCTGCGTAAGTACAACCTGCATATTTCAAATGTGTAGGGACCTGATGTGTCATAGATACAGAGTTCAGCAGCAAATTGTGAGAAGGATTTGGAGTCAACCTGGCAGACAAAAGAAGGCTTTTCTTCCTTGACTGCTTGTGAGAAAAGGAGAATCCTCACAGATTTGCAGGATGGAGCCACTAGCAGGAACCATTAATCAAAAAAAGTTTGTAAATTCTGAGTTAGCAATATGGATGAAGAGGAAAAAATCTATGGATTAGTGCTACTAGGGAACTGTTTTCAGCACCATAGTGAAACCCAAGGACATTTATGAGGTGCAGTGTCAGACTTTCTAACTGGGAAAAAAAAAATGGGTTGAGAGACTCCACTACTCCCATATCTGTGATTACATTATGTGTCCCCTTTTCCTGTGAGCACTTCACTCTTACCTGACTTGTTTCTAGACTAAAAGGAGACAAGAGGCTGTAGTGCTTGTGCATAATTGTCTGTATGGAGTTTCTGATAACAGTTGCATCCAAAGCAAAGGAGAACCAGAGTCTTTTCTTTTAGGGGATGGGAATGGGGACTTGGCTTTGTTTATAAAGAAAAACTATCAGAGGTAAAATAGAGTTAAACAGAGAGGAGGAGTAGCAAAAGAAATGTGTTCTGTCTGAATACTTTTGGGGAAAAAGTTGTGTGTTACCAATTTCACACAGAACTTTTCCTCAATAAATTTCAAATATATACAAAATAAACTGGAAAGAAATTACTTGCCTAGAACCACTAAGCTAAATCAGACTGCTTCATATAGAAGCTGTGCTGCATCCCAGTCCAGTGCTCTGTTGTCTCCTTCCCAAACTCTCTTCAACTGACATGTTCAGTAAGTATTTCTATATTTGTATGCAAATATATTCATTCCCTGCATGATTATTATACATAGTGTCCTACAAGAAACATGCAAAGGCATAGGTTCAGCCAAACTAAAGTCAGCAAGGGTTAAAAAATGTCAACATGCTTACTTCTCTTTCTTTTATTGATCCTGACCCTTTCAAAATCAGTATCTTAGAAGAAATCTGAAAGCCTACTTTTCATTAACTGAGGAAAGAAGGAGGAAAAAAAAAAAAGAAAAAAGGATAACTGAGTGCAGAAGCAGAGTGGAAAATAAGTTTCATAAACAGAAAGCATGGGAATGCTCAATATCCTTAGTGACCTAATGCAGGGGAGTGAGTGAGAGGTCTCAGTAAAGATTAACTCAGGGTTTGCAGGTCGTTACCATCTTCTTTCTAAACAGAGCAGAATTAAACAAAGTACATTCACAGGGCCTTGCTAAAGTATTGTAATAACTACATTGCAAAGCTTTTTACAAAGGGCTACACTGCAAACATGCTTTTGCTGCCTTGTTCAGCCTTGAGGTAGAGAAATGTAAATGCAGAATAGTAGATGAATGGTTGTTTAGTTTGGTTTCTTGTTGTTGGTTTTTTTTTTTTGTCTTGGAAGTTTTAAATTTTTTTTCACTTTCTTTTGTTTTGTGTTTCTGAAGTTTGTTTTAAAACTGACAGCACAACCTGAAATATAGTATCATGTATTCTTTATCTCTTTCAGGCTTGGGGAACAAATGAAATTCTTGCTACAGTTCGTTATATTATTTTAGAAACAGTTAATGACCTTTATTCTTTCCCTTCCTCCTCTGCTTAGAAACAGGTAGGAATGAGTACTTTGGATGTACAGGTTTAATTAGTAAAGCTATAGAAATTATTTTTCTTTGACAGCAAAATCAATTTCTCTGGGGAATGATATTTGAATATTTGCACTCAGTATCTTCAGCTTGCATTAAGATTAAGCAAAACTAGAACAACCTATCAGGAGTTTGCCAAACATGTTTGTTTATTAAAAATTCACTGTATGTGTTCTACATGTTAAAATTATCTCATGTATTAATGCTTCTATATCTTTAATCTGGGAAACACTTATTACTGCTGCTGGTAGTTTTGCTTACATCAATTTGCATAAGGCTTTATTACATACATCTAGATAGCATCCAAAATTGTGCAAAAACAGTTGTTATCTGGGTTACTAAACTCTATAAAATACCATTTGAGACCTTTTCCTGTTTTTTTATTTTCTTCTCCAAGGAATAGTAATTTTCATGGCAGATGATTAGAATACTGAGATTGTATTGTAATATGAAAATAAATTATTATTAGAAAGTAATTCAGAGTTCAAAATTTTCCAACTGTTTTTTTAATTTGAATACATTAAATGTTGTCAAAATATACACCCTTCCAGAACATACAAATTTCAGAAGAAACAATATTTAAAAGGCTTCAAGTAAAACAGGGCACATACTACATACTTGCAAAGCACAAATGAGATGTGAACATTTAAATGCAATTATGTCTTACATACAGTTGTTCACTACTGACTCAGTGCTACTTTATTGCATAGTATCTGTTTATGCAGCAACTTATTTTACATATCAGACGAAACAAATAAAAAAAATGTAATGGAAAATACAGTCTATTTCTCCAAGATATACATACTTTCAGATTGAAGCCATCATTTTTATGCTAATGCTAAGCCTATAGTCATGCATTTGGAAGGTTTTGGCTTATTCACATAAAAATACAGCAATATTTTGGCATAAGTCACATATCATTCTCAAGGATGTATATGTCCTTAAGTTGCTGATACTTAATTCCATGGCAAATCAATAGTTATTCAGAAGTACATGGTGAACTGGTATGTTCAAACATACAGAAGATACATGTTTTTCAAATTAACAACTAAGATGCAATAAATCAAGAAATATTGAAGTTATGTCTTTTTCCATATTTTAATTTTCTGTAAAAGTCAGCACAGCTACCACATGAACTGATAAGCTTTATGTAGAATTTAGGGCATAAAAGGTCCTAAAGTCAGATCCACTGTTGTTTTGGGTAGAGAGAGTTCAAGGATTTGGTCAGAAGTGGGAAAATACATAGTTCTGCTTTGCTGGAGATTATATTAAAATGTCCTTCTTCTACCAGAATCTTTATATGTCTGTCTTTATTTTTCTTCTTCTAACTCTGTTACATATAAATACTGTATTAAATATACACTGAATTAGTGTTTATATAGCTTCCCTGAGGAGAGCAGGATCACCATCCTGCCTCCATCCAAAGCAGCTAGCTGGAGAAGAGCCAAAGGTTCCAAACCATTGCTGGGTGAAGCAGCTGTCTTTCCAGTTTTCAGTAAAATCTCCATTATGAACTTATTTGAAGGTAGCCAAGAGAGAATTATTGATACATCTCACTTAACATAAAGCATTTACAGTGGCTTTCAGTAACTCATTAATAGAAGGATCTTAGCACTATCCTGGTATGATCTATGTGGCACTGCTACTACTTGCTGATTACTTAGTCAGTGTTTTGTTCTCAGTTTGCCACACATCTAACTCACAAGGAGAAAAGATTACTTGCTTCCTGCTTCAAAATTCTCCAGTCTTTTTTTATGATATTGTAAAATCAGGGTGAAATTCAATCAGCAGAGTAATACCTGGTTGGCAGAATGGTCTAAGAATAAGATTATACCAAACACAAGAAGAGCTTGAATAAAATTGCATCCAATAATAGAAAATCATATAAATAAATATAAATATTTTCTTGATTCTTTTGGAAATTTTCATAATATCATGTGGACAGAAAAGATTGCTCATTCAGTACATAATAGTTTTAAGAAGCAAAGCCTATACCTTTTTAAGAAACTGCATCCACTCTTCAAAGGTTGCCTGTTAGGTTCATAGGAAAAATCAGATTGGAAAGGACCTCAGCAGGTCTTTAATCCCACCTCTTGCTCAAAACAGCATCAGTTGTGAGATCAAACCATGTTGGTGAGGGCTTTGTTCAGTCTGGTCGTGAAAACCGCCAAGGATGGATGCCACATGACTTTCTAAGCAATCTGTTCCAATGCTTCAGTGCCCTCATCATGAAAAAGGTTTTCCTTATATCCAGCCTGAGTTCTGGGGGTGTTTTGCCTATTGCCTCTCCTCTTCTCAGAAGACACACCATCAAAAGCCTGGCTCCATCTTCTTGATGGCCTACTCACAGGTGCCGGAAAGCTGCTGGGTTTCTTATCTGTCTTCTTGTCTTCATGAAAGTATTTATTGCTTCAATAATGTTTCAATGGCCACAGATGAACAAAGTTACTTGTTTTAATAATCTCTCTTCATGTAATTTCTAGATTAATTTGAAATAACCCAAGCATTTACCACACTGAAAAAGTAACTGCCACATTTATAATGGTCTTGACTCCTACCTAAGCCACCTATAAAACAACATTGCTAAGTTTAGAGATTCTCTTACATGTCTGACTTCTGTCTATTCATTATGATATAGCTGCTGGTTGATTAAATGTTAGTATGGTAGATACAATTTGTTTATTTTCTCCAACCAGAATAAATCCAAATCTCTTTTTTGTGGAGATTTCTTTGGGAAGTAGCTTTACAGTGCTAGGTATCGTGCAGGTATTTCCAGGATTTATTTATGCCAGACACTGTGGATCATCTCATCTCTTATTTCAGGGTATTTCCAATCCTTCTATGTAGTTTATTTCAGGTGAAGACAGGCATCTGCTGGCCTCCTAAAGCCATAGCTTCCGGAAGGGTTAGCATATGACCCACACTTACAATAAAGGCCAAAGTACCTGTTCTCATTTATGCTGCATCTGCCAGGACTGTATATACAGTCTGGAAGCACCCTAGTGAAACCCTTGAGCTCACCAGCTTTTGGGTTGGGTATTTTCATCACTTCCTGGCCACTGTATCTTTCCAGAGAGCTCCAAGTAGAAAATGACATAACCTTATGTTGAATTTCTCTTTCTTGAAAGATGGACATGCCTAATTCAGTCTCCCTTTTTCACTCCTGAATTTTTTATGAAAGAATCTTCCAAGTGCAGTCATGAAGTTCACACATGTAACAGTGTAAGTATATATTGTAATATCTTCCCAACAGAAGATTTGATTGTTTTTACCTGGTTTAACCAATCACATGGTGCAAGTGTTAATGGTATAAGCTGAGAACATTTCAATGTAATGAAATGTTAAGATCTTGTAAATGTTCCCTGTACCAAATATCCAGCTGGTGAATATGGACGCCAACAAGATGAAAATCTGGGAATGCCTGGTTGCATACAGCATGTTTGGTATCTCTATATAGAATTTGTTTGTCTTTTCAAAGTCCATTTTTAAAAAGTATATCAATTGAACTTCTGGGTTTAGATTATTTCATATGAATAATTTTTATTGTTGCTTAAATCAATGTTAAATGATCTTTTTCTAATATTTCTTTTCTGTTTTACTTCCTTCAATGTTTGCTTTGAAACCTCACCAATAAAGCAAGCAATGTAAACTAGATATTTATAATAGTTTCTATCCATGCCTTGATTTGACGCCACGACAATAAAATTGAAGACTTTCAACTGAGGCTTTGTTTTCTCTTTCCTTGAGTGAAATCTCAGGGGCTGCACCTGATTTTTTTATAAAGATTGTCTTCTGTTCGTTCTTTTGGACAGCTGAGGTATTTCATTTGATACAAACCTTGAACTAAACAAATAATTGTATTTGTGGTCCCAACAGTGGGTTTCCCAAATGTATTTGTACAGATAAACAACACAAACAACAAGGTCTACCTTAATAAAATAACTGCAGAATTTAAGGATTTTTTTTTTTTTTGCCCCGTGGAATCTGTCTGAGAATAATACTGTTGAAATCTTGGAGTTCTTATATCTTTTATCTGAAAATGCTTCATGTTTTCACCTATGTGACTAGAAGTCAGGAAGTCAAAATGGTTGGTTTGAATTTGGAATGAGAATAAAACAAAAGCAGAAAATTTCCAGATGGCAGTCTCATGAAGAAATGCAATGTAACTGATATTTATATTTAACACAGTTCTAAAAGAATTTTCTTGACTCTTCTTTGAAATGCAGGGGTTTAAAAGTCATTCAAGGAGCAAAGCAAATTCAAAACAATTCAGTATTTCCGTGTACTAACTGTTCAGGCTGGAATGCGTAACCTGTGGAAGAACTGGTTCCTGGATCTTTGCATGCAGTTTGTCATCAGTTTTGTACAGAGACATTTCTTCCAGAAAAACTAATTCAAAAATTCACTCTTCATCAGAAGTTTGAGGATGACAGGATCAGCCAAGGTTTCTTTCAACCATTTAATTACTTATTTTAGAAACAGCTTATTTGTGTCTAAGTAAATTATACTCTTACTGATCACAATGGTATTTTTTCTGGCTTTTGAAATACAGAGTGAGGAAATCATGTTGGTTATTTTTGACCTATCTATCTTTTATTTATCATCTATCCATGTTTAAGAATTGTTAGGGATTCTAACAACAATCAGTGAAGCAAGGGAAGAACCCTGAATCCTTTGATTTGCTCCAGGTAATACATGTAAAGTGATTAATTATCTTGATTGTAGACCAGGATGTCATTTTGGGAAAAGCTGGATCTTATATATATTACATATATATCAAATCTTACAAGAACACTGAAGGAAGATAGAAGTGAAGGAATAATCAAGGAGGTCATGTTTAGCCCTGAATTCAAAATATGTTTTGTGAGAATTTATTCATTAGCTTTGAGACCAAACGCACTCGTAATTTTAAAATCTGCAGGGGGCACTGGAACAGCAGGACCTCTGAGTAAGTCAAATGACAAGTTCAGCTACTACGAAGTTTTTGCTTTCAGCATTTTTTATTTCTAATACTTGTGAATTCAGGTTTTGTTTATATTTTTAATCAGAAGAACATTAAAAGAGCAACAAGAGAAGTTAGATTAGACAGTGTGTTTTTTCATCCCATATTGGATATTATGCCTTTTTACCTGAAAGCTAAATTTCATTTCTGATGTGGTAAGCCATGCTCCTTCTTCCAGTTTCAAAACTTACTCAGAAATCATAAGTCTTCAACTTGCGTCCAAATGTATATATTTGAGGGTGTTTTTTTTTTTCCTGTGGCAAGACATAATTTCTGGGCTACTGCACAAAATATTGTTTTGTTTTATTCCAATGTTGCAACCTGAAACCAAGGGAAATAAAAACAACCAAACAATCAAACAAAACAAACCAAAACACAACAACTTTGGAAACAGAATGTTGATGATTTCTACAACTTGAAATCTACAGATGCATACTTCTGTAGCTTTTTCATGGGAGTAAATATGTCAGTATCAGCTACTTTGGATTGTTGTCTTTCACATTATCAGAGCACACTACTCTGCTTAACTGTATGGAACTGTGCATGTTTATGAAAGTACTTTCTTAAACCTGTGCTTTATCTGTAAGGTCATTCAGCTATAAAGTGGTTCAACTGTAACTGTATGTTTACTCTGCAGTTTCTTGTACACATGCAGTTGTTTTTTTTCTATTTTTTGCATCTTTCTGCAAAACCACTGCTTTCTATGTCAGTCCCAGGACACATCACATATTCCATGTGTCTCTTGAAGTTCTCTCCAGCTGTTCATTATAATATCCATTAATTGATTTTTTTGTTTGCCTTTATTTTATGCTTTTCAAATAACAGTCGTGGTAGAGATGATAACACCTTCTTGGAAAGTTGGTTAGAAAACATTTCACTTGGCCAATCAAATAGGATACACCTTTAATGTTGAAGTAGTTTAAATAAGAGCACCTGAAGTATAGAAGTAAGCACACTGTGACAGTTTTAGTGACTCAATTCACAACATTCTCAGAAAATTAAGTGAAAAACAATCTGAATACTAAGTAAAGAAGGGACATTTGTATCCAGAAGATTTTAACAGGAAGAGAGTTTAATAATAAAATTGCAGCCCTAACCACATGGCCTTCTTGCTCTGTTTGTTTGTTTTCTTTTAGAAGCAGTGTGGCATAGATGACGCTTGCCATAAAGCTCTTCCTACAGAAAAATATGCAACTCTAGCTTATTTCCAGTGCATGATAATAATTAAAGCTTCAGTGAGTGAACCTCTGACATTTTTTTTAGCTAACAATTTACCTTAAGCCCTCTTTCTCTCTTATGCATTTGGATCTAAAGAGCAATAGGGAGACTGAAAGCAGTAGGCATGAGTGGCTCATTCCCTAGCTCTGTGGACTAAAGGCTGGAATAACCTGACAAAGGTTTCAGGAGAGGGAGGCCAGGTGGTGAGCGGACTGATCTTATAAGGGTTAGAAAAGAAAGAGAAGGTCTATCTTGTGACCAGGCTGAATTCAGGATGTTTATGAGCGTCATCATGCTGCCTTCACTGGTGCCAGCAATGTTTGTATGGTCCAGACTTCAGCTATCGACTTTTCCATTTATTCAGCTCCATACTTTCCTTTGTTCTGGGGAGTCTGCTGTAGTTAGAGAGTTTATAGTGTTTTCTTGTAAAGAAGTCTAGTGTTTAGAGTAAGGGTTTACTTGTCAAGACTTAAAGAGTCTATCTGTGACTCTATATTCATGACTCTGGGTAAGACACTCAACCAGTTTTACTTCAGCTTTCCAGCCTGCAGAGCAATACTAGTCTCAGTGGCCTTATGTCAGGCTTCATGCAACTGAGATACTTGGATGAAAGCTGTTTTAATAGGGGAATCCCACTATGATTTGCATTCTTATTAAGCCATAAATGCTCTCCATTCATTTTGGATAGAGAAAAGATGTGGAGGGATAAGATTTGCCTGTTAGTCTCATTTTGTATAGGCCTCTATGTTCTGTAAAAAATTCTCCAGCGCAGTAGATGGGAACTTGGGTGTGTGAATCCTTGGTATCCTGAGTAGCAGACATCCTGGGACAGTAACCAATTAATACTGAGCAGGGACTGGGAGCAGCAGAGCAGCAGCATGCCCTTCCTCACCATACAGAACCGGCAGATCACCTGGACATCGCTGCTGGTACTGGGGTATCTCTTTTACCTCCTCCTGGGCGCTATGTTGTTCCAGCTGCTGGAGAAGCAGTCAGGGATCCACTTTAGGGACCAGTTTCAGCTGGAGAAGCTCAAGTTCTTGCAGAACTACACATGCTTGGGCAGGCAAGCCCTGGAGCAGTTTGTACAGGTAAGGGAAACACGCTCCCATTATTTTGGTTCCAGCATTATTTTAGTTAGAAGAAATTATACTGTTGTGGCCACGCATGTCATAAGTTGATCTGCTGTTCATGATATTAAAGGACTAACTGTACAAGAGAATGGCAGAGGTTTCTCAAGCCCATTCACCTATCTCTTAGTCTTGATCAATTGCACTTCTTTTCCCAGTCATGAACTCCCAAAATATGCAAATATACTTAAGAACCTTCCTACTACTTTGCAATAATTTCAGCTTCAGTGTTTTTGTCTCCCTTGTTAAGTATTACATGGGAATCATGCATGAGGACAAAAACCAAGAATCAAACCTACAAGAAGTAAGTCACACTTTCAAGGTTCTCCAGTCCAAACCCATGCAAATTTTCCCCTTCTTTTGTACTACGAATTTTCTCCTGCCTTTGAAGGTGGTCCTGCACTTCCAGGCCTCTAAAGGAAAGATAAAGCCAACCACCATGAACTGTGTTAACTCTCACCTATAATAAGATACAAAGGACTCTTGTTCAATATGGGTTGTCAATTAATGACATCTTCAATTACACTTTATTCCTCAAAGTTGTCTGGAGATGATATATTAGACCTTTCTTGGTATTATAATAAACATATTCTCATTCTAGTATTGCAAGAACTGGACAGAAGTTCTTGAATTACCGCTTTTGTTGTGTTCAAAGTATATCCAGTTGCAGAGCTGGATGCCTAAACAGTTTGAACTCTTTCTACCATCTCATTAAACTTGATAGAAACTCTAAGGAAGTAGGCTGCAGGTTTGCACTGAGTCAGAGGACTTCCGCAGAGGTATATGCTTTTGATCAATAAAAAGACCATATTCTGTAAATGGATTTAAGCAAACAGTGAAGTTCAGATCAGAAAGAGAAGAGGTGGTCTGAACCTCTGTCTACAAGGACTATGTTCTGATTACTAATACTGTGATATATTTCTTGTGGAACATTTGGTATTGTCCAGAAAATTACTAGAGTTTTCAAGAATTTACATACATAAAAAGATGCCTGATTTTTTTTCAGCTTCAGCAGCTACTGATATTACCTGTATTTCCCTTATCACTGGGATAATGATTGTAGAGCAGAAAATCCTGATTCTCATTCTAAACCAAAATGGGATATTTCATAGGATTGGAAGGTTTAGTTAAGTATACTAGAAGCCTCAGAATGGGTTCACACATGTTCAGATTCTCCTCTCTCTGGCTCCAGTAGACCTTCCTCAGCACTGCCATGCTCGGAGAATCATGAGGCTTTTTTGCATCTCTGTGGAATTAGATACAATTCTTTCATTTGTGAGTTGTTCCAGACAAAACCGGCTGAGGGCACCAGATTATTGTGTACAATGTACCAAGCTTCGAAGTACTTAGACTTGATAGTTCTCAAGGTAAATGTAAGTGCAAGGTGCCCTCTGACTCACCACACATTTATAAAATCTCATGAGAAATTGTCCATCTCTTACCAACAGTAGAGACTAGATGTCTTTCCATATTAAATCTATAACTCTAATTCAGAAAAGCAATCATCTCTCTGTATGTTTTAACTGTATGGTTTAGGAGGCCTGTTCATCATGTCAGAAGTTCCAGTCTGAAAAGTCACGGTATACAGGCTGTGGTGAAACAGACACTAGATTAAGTCTGCTCAGCTGACAATGGTATGGTGCTGGCAGAGGATAACCAGTCTCCTTCGGAGAAATCCTGGGGGAGAGCAATGAAACACAAGGCAGCTGACAAGATATTTGATGGATAAATAAGAGCAGCATTTCTTTTGCACATAGTAGTTTTGGTCATCTGGTAAGAGCTATCTGGAATAGCAGAGAATAATCATTAGCTAATCTTTCAGACTAGGGGAAGTCTAAGATTCATTGAAAATTGCTGGAAAGTCATAGCTGAAAATAGCAATTCATACTCACTAGTACTTACATGGAGGAAACGGAAATGAATATGTTCCCCATCCCCCTTCCCACAGACACAATGATACATTTACACGTGTCCAAATTAAAAACTGCAGATTTCTATCAAGGTGACTAGACTTGGAAAGGAGAGAAGAGGAACTGCCTTTATTTTTTATGGTATAACTTCACTTTATTTTCCCAGTTTGATCACTTTGGTGTCTCCCTCCACTCCCTTCCCCTTAGCCTTCAACTAGTTACGGAACCTGTGCTCCTTGTCACTTCTCCAGTGACAAGAATTCAAGATTCTAGCCAGTTCTGTTTCCAACTTTTGCCATGTCAGCACAAGGCCATTTTAACCAAATCTACCCTGTTATCTACACTGTTTATTGCTCTGTTTGCTCAAGATGGAAAGCAGCATTTACTTCCTTTTTTTTTCTGACATTCTTCTTGATTTGGGCTAACGGGTTGCTCATCTTTGCTCCTTTGACCTCTTCTGCCTCAGGTCCTCATGGAAGCATGGGTAAAAGGGGTCAACCCAGAAGGAAATTCTACAAATCCCAGTAACTGGGACTTCAGCAACTCCTTCTTTTTTGCAGCAACTGTTATCACCACTATAGGTGAGGTACTCTCTTTCCTTATAAATTGGGGTTTTCTACAGCTATCCTGTAAATCCCCCAGAAATGTGCAACTGGTGGACAGAATACACCTTCAAGACAATCTTGACTATTGTGGGTTACAGTTTTCTATTATTTCCCAATTGTACCTGTTACTCAGATATATCCAGCATACCACACCTGCAAAAAACAGCTGAGTGCCTACTTGATACATGTGATATCATTTTGTATATGCATAGCACATATTGAGGTTTCTTTGAAACACTCAGTTGCACTCACCAGAAAATCAGAGACCTATAGAAATTTACAATACTCTTTATGAGTAATGTTTTTCACATTAAATTTTCTGTTAATCATAGTGAATGCACAGGGCTCCATCAGAAGCTATGGCAATTTTTAAGACGGATTTAATTGCAGAAAATCATAGGTCCACAGGTTCCTGAAGTTTAACATGGCTGAACTTCCAAGCCTAGGAACAACCCAGGATGACCTGCAGCCTGACTGTAATGCCTTTTCATGTAGCTCTTCTTATTTTTTCCAGGTTATGGTAACCTGTCTCCCAGCACAGTGGCAGGGCAGATCTTCTGTGTGTTCTATGCCTTGTTCGGAGTGCCCCTCAAACTGGCTTTTCTTAATCAGCTTGGGAAAGGCCTCAGTGCTCACCTGATTACCTTGGAAAGACGGGTGCAAAAGCCAGGCTGTGCCCAGGTACAGTGTCAACCTATCTTTTATTTCCACTGTTTCAAAATTAGTTAAATTTCTCCTCTCAGATAAGTACTGTTGTTGCTAGATTGGGTTTCCCTTGTGCATGCCTATATTTTTCTCAAACATAGCAATTAAATGGCCCTCTATATCAGGAAATTGATATACTCTATTTATCCAGCTTTAAAGCAATTTGATTTTGCTTGACAGACTCTAGATTTGCCTGTTTAAAACCTGACCCAGCAAAACTGTTAAGCCAAGCATCACCTCAATTTTAAGCAAGGTCCTTAACCTTTGGAGACCTCAGCAAAATACATGCACATACACACATTGCTGAATCAAGTTCTTATTATCAATCCTGTGCTAACATCTATCCAGATTGTAGCTCTACACTGTGCAAAACCAACTTATTTTTATTGGCCTGCTAATCTGGTTTGAATTACCTTCCCTGATTGTGCAAGTAATTTAACACTTCCTTACTTTTCTTTTCTTGAAACATAAATAAATACTCCTTCTTCTTAGTTATAACTTATTAGTGAGTCATTGAACTAGTCAAGATATATTGGAATAAGGGAAGCACAAGTAACAGAAAATAAATTAAGGTAATTTATAGAAAAGTTAGCACATGTTTCCGAGTAAAGGTTCAATGAATTGACTCCTTTAGTTAGGGAAAAGGGAGATTAAATGTGTTAAATATGTTGAAACATTTCAGAGCTCTGGCACAAGCGTTTTTTTCCTCTTTTCATTTGTAAAACCTCTGAGTCACTGCCTACACTGGGAAAGCTATAAAGGTAATGTCAAATGCAGATGAGGGTTATATGAGCAAGAAGTTCTTTAGCTGCATAACCTGCCTGCTCTCGTGCAGCTCTGCCACCAGGAGGACTTTCATGCTAGTATAGCTGCATCTGTCCTGAGATTCCTCACGGATGTGATTTTTTATTTTTTCTTTTCACTCCTGAATTAACACCTCATTCCTGTCAGAATTCCTATGATCAGACAAATTTTTGGGGCTGTATCTAGTTGTTCAGTCTGAAAAGCCTCTTCCAGGAAACTGGCTCATCTCCTTTTAAACAGAATTTAGTCATGCTTTGAGAAATTAATTACAATCGATTCTTCTTCATTCCTGGCTTACTGTCCCCTATGTTACAGGTTTATACCAAAAAGCCAGTGTAAAAAGTAATACTGTGCATTTCAGTATAAATTTTAGGCAACTTTATTATCTAATTAAATGCTATTGCACTTCTGGAATTAATTAAATGAGAACAGATTTCAACTATAACCATGTTGATCAGTAATTCTCAAAGTGCTTTGCAAATGAGGTAAGTATAGAAAACTAGAAAGACATGATGCACAATACAAAAGTGATTTGTCAAAGTCACCCAGTAGGCTCACGCCAAGTTTCTCAAACTCAGCTGACTATTTTATATGTGAGATAATACAGAGAGAGGAAGAAAAACATGATACCTGGCCTTTTTTACTGTATGAATAGTGGTTTGGCTTTTCATCCAGTCACAATAGGCACATGCATAGAAAACCTTACCCTGGTTTGAATGCTCCTGGGGACATTTTTAAAAGATTGCAATTAGTTTTTGTCAGCCTGTACATCACTAGTCAAAAGTTTACCAAAGCGTATTCTCTGGAAATCCATGATTGATCCTCAATCCTAAACTCCTGAAATCCCCTGTCGTGACCCATGCACTGCCCACTGCCCGTTCTGTTTACCTAGCCACTGCAGCCACATATGCTGAAACTTACCTCCCAGAAGGCAGACATTTGTACTGCGAGACACAGATCTGCCCTGTAGTGACAGAAAACAGTTCTGATCTGAATGCTGCTTAGTTAAAAATAAAGGCAGGCGAACTGACTTCACTTAGACTTTATCGAAACATATTTTTGGCTGAACTCTTGCAAGCCACTTTATAAATCTTTGGAAGCAGTCACAGTGAAGAGAACCCTAATTTGTCCTTGCCAATCTTTGTATCATGAGTTATGCAATACTTGGTGATTTTCCTCAAAGACAGGAGCCAACTGATTACGAGATTATCTATCTCCACTTCAATTGAAATTGTAAAGTGAGTATTTCATTTTTGTGGTTGTCATAAGTTTGAAAATATGACTTGAGTATGCTTAAAAACTCATTGCAAAAAAAGCTTTTAAAAAATCCTCCTTTTTTTTCCTATTTTTGAGGTATTTTTGATTAATGATTAGGTACATTATCTATGTGCAGGGTAAACAGCGAGGTCAGCCTACAGTGCATGGAAGCATCAGTTTATCCTTCCTGTTTGAACATTGCTCACTGCTGGAGCAGGTTTGTGATTCAAGAGCAAAACAGACTCAGCAATTTCCGCTAAGCAACTGATCAGTACTATTTATCTGCCATCTTCTTTTATTTTTCAGGTGGTTCAGACACTGGCAGTGGCCATCTTCCTGACCACTGGGACCTTGCCTTTTATAATATTCCCATCATTGGTCTTCAGTTATGTAGAAGCCTGGAGCTACGGAGAAGGCTTTTACTTCACCTTCATCACCTGAGCACCATTGGATTTGGGGACTATGTAGTAGGTAATAAAGAAGGCGAACTGGATTGAGTTTTGTTGAAATTAGTTGCTCTAGTATAAAGCTAAATACAGAGAGCATAGATATCAATCCCACTATAAATCTGACAACCTAGTTTAGTGAAAGGTGTCCTTGGCCATGGCAGGGGGATTGGAGCTAGATGAGCTTTAAGGTCCCTTCCAACCCAAACAATTTTATGATTCTATGATAATGTATTATATGACATGGGCATTTTTCCCTTGGCAGTTAAGCTGAGAGTCACCAAATATGCCACTGGACACCCATTCAGCAGTGTCTATGCCCAACCTGGTAAGAATGTGATCTATGAGTGACAGGTGGAATATAAGTGAAATCTCTTTGCCAGTATTAGGCTTTTGAACCACCGTCTCCTAACAGTGATATGTTTCAGCAAATACTTACCATTCCCAATAAAAAATCATGTAAAATATGTAATGATCAGTACTTAAAGTGGGGAAAATATTACTGACAACCCCAGAACGCCTGTGAAAGAAAACAAACCCAGTGAAATTACAGTCTTTAGAGTCTCTATGTTGAACCTCTTCTCTAGGCTGAGACACAGAAATAGACATAAGTGAAGGGCTGTTTTTCACCCACTTATTTGAACAAATGCTCTTAACAGATTGTGTAGTGTGTTTATTTGTTAAAAACACTAGAGTCTGTTGCTTCACAAGTAGTAGCTCTCCTTGGGACATGTAAGCATATCCCAGAAGGAGAGAAATTCCCATCTCATGCTGAATCTGGGCACTGTGGAGTTTCATGATGATCTGGATGATAGACTTAAGTGCATGGCTGCACTGCTGTCCTGTGCCTGTATCATCTGCACTGATTGCCCATGACTGGGTTTAAACCCCGACATAGACTTAAGTGCATGGCTGCACTGCTGTCCTGTGCCTGTATCATCTGCACTGATTGCCCATGCTGTGGAATTATCAACTCGGGGATTAAGATGCCCGTAACCACATACTTAAAATGGCTGCATTTCCCATATAATATTCTCCAGATGATTTTTTAATCCTGGTTACTGAGGTATGTCATCCTACAAAAAGCAACCACTATATCACTGAGGTAGGAAACTGTATCTTTCTAAATCATCTAAGACCCCCTATGTGTTTCTTGAGTACAATATGACTAATACAGATTCAAAATTGGATTTCCAAGTTGATTTTTTTTTGTCTTTGTCAGTGGCTAGGAACACTCAATTTTGTGCATCATTGAATAACATTAGATATGGCTATTTTTCTTATATAGCCTCAGCTTCAGAGATTTGATGCCAACTGTGCTAACCTTCACCTGCGATTTGGACCATAAAAAGAAAAAAGGAAAATAAAAATAAAACGATGCTTATAGATCACACAGTCTTATTAAACTTTTTCAAGGCGTGGAGAACGTATGTATGAGAACTTCTGTTTGGCACACCTAAGCTGTCAAGATTAATATGCATAATTTCCTGGATTTTTCAGGCACAAACCCCAACAAGGACTATATCCCAGTGTACAGAAGCCTAACTGCAATTTGGATTGTTTTTGGCTTGGCCTGGCTGGCTTAGGTCTTCAACGTGGCACCTGACTTGATGGAAAAATTTCTTCAGCTAAAGTGGTACAAGCCTGACTTAAGCTTGGCAGTAGGAACCACCATCAAACTGGAAAATGAACCTAAGCAGCCTAGAGTCGACATCCCCAGCTGAGCAAGGTACACAGAAAGCAGTCTTAAAAGTATGTCTTTCATCTGTATCTCGCACTAAGCAAGCCATGTGGATAAAGGACTAAACCACAAGTTGTAGACTGTTTCCTAAGGACAGATTTCCTAAGGAGGAAATTTCAGATGCATTGAAATTTTCACACACTGTGTAGGTATCAGCCAATTAAACCTCCAGAGAAGTAGCGCACATGTTCAGACAACTTTCCTGGGATTCATTTTACACTTTTAGCTCAAGACAGCTTCCTCTGAAGTAATCAATTATTATCCTTTCTCTTTCTCTAGTGGAATTCAGTTCTTATGGTCATTTGTTTTCAAATAAATCAAGAGTGACTGCCTCCCACCTCCAATGAGAAGTCATGTCACCAAGAATCTCAAGTGGAAAAAGTCAGGTACAGAAATCTTCCTTCATTTCCAATCATAAAACAAACAAAACCACAGAGGAATATCAGCAGTAATGACCACCTGCTAAATGACATCCATCCAATTAAGATTCATTTGATATTGTTTGAAATTAACAGCTTTCGTATAAAATGATAACATTTCTTTAGTTCCTGGGCTAAAATGCTTCTCTCTTAAATTGTGCAGAAATCATGTGCCTATCCAGCACTGCCTGGACTGTTAAAATCTATTTCGGAGCGAACTGACAGCTCAGTGAAGGTCCTTATTCTTATTGCAGTTCATTTCACAGCCACTTGACAACAGGACTTTGAATCTAAATGCAAGGAGACTTCCTTTATTTCCAGTCAGATCACAAATATTATTAGAGTCTGGCATTTGCTTTGGGACAGTTCATTGTGGAGGTATCATGCATGTAGATTTGATGCTGTCCATTTACCTCTAAATAAGGCTGACGATAGGCTTTTGTGTGAAATCTGATCCTCAGCCGTGTGCATAGAGTCAACCATGAGAAACGGAGTCTGGTTTTGTCACATCTATTGTAAGTTGAACGTAGCAGCAGCCATCACCAAAGAAGCAGTAAAGCCAAAGAAGGACACATAAGCACCTTATAAGCAGGCCACTCACTGAGATATAAAACTGTAGTCATACTATGTATTAAACTCTAGAAACTTGATAAAGCAATTAACCATTCATTGAGTACCATGCTAGGTAGTTTATAACCATCACTTACACACTCAATGACTTGTAATTATGTACATACTGCCATTTATTATGTATGTTTATAACTCACAGTAACCATCAGTTAATCCCTTTAAACTCATTTATGAGCGGAACCTTGTGACTGAATTACTACTGGGCAATGTAGCAAGCTAGCCTGTGGCTGACAGGCTACAGTAACATCTCACGCCAGCCTTTCAGCAACCGCTTTGGTATTCCGTTTTGGGGAAGTGCACATAAAACATGTAGACAGGTATAGGTCACAAATCTCTTCTCATATACTTTCTTACTTCAGAGGATGGTCACAACAGCAGCTTGTTCTTACACCTGACTTGATGCTCGCCATCTTTGCTAGTTGCGGACTCCTGCATAGTGCAGTGTGCCAGCTATGGTTTGTTCAACTCAACTCAAAACTGAGTTTTCAAATACACAACCCATCTAACATTTCCCAGTCTTACCACTGGCTACATCACAGATTTTATCTCCTAGGTTTTTGCACTGATCTTCTGTTATGCCCTCAGCTATTCCCATAAATTTATGCAATGGCTTTGTTTGTAGCTGCTTTCACTAAGAGTAGCCAACTCTCTCCTGTCTGGCTTTTTGTATCTTTGCAGATCTCATGGGAAACTTTCTCAGTATTCTCTATTCTTCACACATAATGTTTGCATATGCACTTGTTAATACATCACCATCACTGTACTCTGTACCTGCCTTGTGTCAATGCTACAAGACATTTTAGACCAATTTATGTAAAAGACAAAAGTAAAGTTCTACTGACTTTTATACCTAACCTGTTCCCTTCTCCTTGCCTTTTTCCATGCCTTCCTTACTTTATCTAGCCACAGCCAGCCACAAAACATACACTAGTCTGAAGGTGATGCTATACAGTATTTTACACCATGCTGCATGCCGTAACAAATGATAATAAGGTTTACAAAGGACAGAAAGTATGCATGCACCACTTACTGGCAAAGTGTTTGTTAAGATAATTCTTGCTTGACACCTCACAGCAGGGAGTTCTTATTGGTTTCACTGCAGTCCAGAAAATTGCTCCTGTACCTGATACTGACCTTGCAAAGTACTAGCATGATGAGACTATGCTACTTAAATCAAGCATGTGTCCGTGCTGAAACAGAAAAGAGGAAGATACTGATTACCTCTCCTTGTTACACAAGTGATTGAAATTTCTTGCTCACTTTGTCAATTTTTCAAGATCCTGTAAAGATCCTAAAGGTCATGCACATTTGTAATCAAAGTTACTTCAAGATACATGCTGAGAGCACTGGTCCAGTTCTTAGGCATGAACGGATCAAGCATTTTCTAGTACCCTTCCTCTAATAAAAAGGTAGCCAACTGTGGAGACAGTATTCTCATGGGAGAATGGATAATTGGTACATGAACTCTGAATAATCCCAAAAGATACAGCAAGGCCATGAGAGGCCCAAGGAAGCTTAAGCAAGCAAGATAAGAAGAAGCTGGAATTCACTGAGTTAATGAGAACTGTGGACTGTTGGCAAGCTTTCGAGGTCAAGTTCTCACACCTGTGCTTAACCAATTATATGTTAGTCACTAAGGGTCTTCAAGGCATGCATCCAATCATAATGTGCCAAATCACTGTAAGTGCATGTAAGGAATAGTATATAAGGAGTTAAGGCTTTGTAATAAATGTCCTTTGTCTGATCATATTGATCTCTGACTGAGTCCATATTATTTCTGTGGCAAATGGTGCCCAACGTGGGGCACCCCCCATATTTTTCATATAGAAACTGAAGGAATTAAAGTGTGTGGCACCAAAGAAAGTGGAAAACGTGGAGCCGCAGGGACATCGGCTGGGTTCGATCCAGCAGGACCAGGACTGGGAGGTAGATGCCTCGGAAAGGAGCCTTGTGAGCCCGGAAGACACTGTGCAGTGCAAATAAGGTAACAGCCGCCGGGTCTGGAAGAGGATTAGGACGGGGAATCAATTAAGTAAAGAAGAAATGGTCATCCTTAAGCTCTTCCAGCATATCCTCTCAGTGAGAGGGACAGAGTATGACGATAATCTGTCAAAAAGACTATTGCTCTGGAGTAAAGAAAAAGAGCTGATCCAGGGGGTTAATGAAGCCCTTGAGCCTGGGACTTGGGAAAAAATCACTAAGGAAGAAGCCTCTGTTTTATGGATGTTTTCAGTCCTTCTTAAGGTGAAGGGAGTAACCTTTAAAGAGACAGACTTAAATTTAATGTTGAAATGGTCGAAGACATGTTATCCAGAGATTGATGAGTCTACTGTATTTGAGGTCTCTTTGTGGAATGGTGCGGGAGTTAAATTGTGGATGCACTTACAAAAGGCAATGACACTGTGAAAAATTTGTTAGTCATTTGGAGATCTACTTTAGAGACGTTAAAGTCAGAAAATGATACCATGGAGCCCAGTTGTCGATCCCCTACCGCCCCCCCCCCCCCCCCCGAACTTGTGCTGGTTGCCACCATGGCTGTGAAGACTGAGGACAAAGATTAAGATGATCCTTTTGACTCAGGCTCTATTGACCCCAAGAAGGAGCCTGTGCATGTTCATCAGCCTGCTGTTGCTGCTCCTGAGGTTCTGATGCCTGATAATTCTGATGCTGACCTGGATGGCCCTTTTAACCTGGAGCCTATTCATCTGGAAAAAGAGCCTGATTTATATCCCCCAGATCCTCATGATAAATGCACAGCTGTAAAGGGAGAAGCGAGACCAGTGGGGGATGTAGATGTATTGTGTGCTTTCCCAGTGATGTATGTGCTGGATCAAGACCTGCGGTGGGAAGGTCTCTCGTATGCTCTTATCAGGGGTATTGGGCGGATTGTGATGGACCCTGGACTTGGGATCCCATATACAAATCATTTGATACAGTCTCTCTGTGATACTCATGTAATAGAAGTTGGTAAATATAAGTATGCCCAGGTTTCTATCAGCCTTTGGAGACCTTTATAGATATTGCTGGCCACTTCTTCCAGCACGGGCTGGCCACCTGTGTTGGAATGAGTGTGCATTTTGGTCAGTATAAAAGCCCAAGCCTCATGTGATGTGGGGGAGGCAGAGCCTCTGCAGGGATGCCAGCTAAGGTTGAGCCTGCCACCTCACACTGCAATGATGCTTCTTGGAGCTGGTTTGCTATTAGTCTCCACAGGGGCCTTGTGCCACGTTCTGTACGTGGGACTGTAGTGGGAGTAATGATTGTCTGGATTTTGTGCTTCAAATATTGTAGTTGTGTGGAGTGTGCTTGTGGGATCCCATACGTGTGTGTGTGTGTGTGTGTGTGTCATGGGGGCGGATGGTATTCTTTGTATTTTTTGTTGTTGGGTTCATGTAAAAGTTTTTAACCGATAGCAGTTTAACATTTCGGGCAAGAAAGGGTTAATGCAAAAGTGCGGTTCCCGGCAGGTATTTATGGTTGCTGCTGCCGAGCAGGCCGGCGTTTGTAGCCATGCAAAGCAGGGTGAGCGACTTTGGAAAAAAAAAAAAAATTATTTGATAAGACTTTGGTACCCGTGTTCAAAAAAAAAGCTGCCCTCCAATTCAGCTCCCGGTGCTCCACCGGCAGAATGGCCAGGATGGATGCCAGAGCCAAGGAGTAAAGGAAAAAAAAAAAAAAGGCGTTCTTTCTGAAACCTGTAAAGTACAAATTGGAATGCATAAATTTTTATGCATGCCAAATTCTCTAAAATTTTTATTAGGGCGAGAAACAACATCTAAAGAAAGCAAAATGGAATTTAGAGTTAAAAACCATCAATTAATTGCAGTTTTGAGTTTATCTTTAATTCAGCAGAAAAGCAAAAAGGAGGACCTCCCTGAAATAGAAGAAAACCTTAATCAGGTATATCTGGGAGTATCGGCATCTGAAGTTCCAGGTAAGATGAAAAATGCTTTGCCTGTCATAGTGGAAATAAAAAGGGGGGGGGCTGCCCAATTAAAATAAAACAATATCCCTTAAAATTAGAAGATCAAAGGGAATTAAAAAAATCATTGATAAATTTTAAAATATAGATTGTTAATTGAATGTGAATTGGAATATAACACTCCTATCTGGCCAGTAAAGAAACATGATGGGAAAAGTTGCAGATTGGTTCAAGATCTCAGAGCAATCAACAAAATCACAGAAGATATTTGTCCAGTAGTAGCTAATTTGTATGATTTATTGACTAAATTGAACAATAATCAGAAATAGTTTGCCCTCCTGGATTTAAAGGAGACTTCCTTTTGCTTACCATAGGCCAAAAGAAAGCCAAAATTTATTTGCTTTTGAATGGGAAAATCCTGACACAGGAAGAAAAACTCAACTAACTTGGACGGTATTACCACAGGGGTTTAAAAACAGTCCAGCAATTTCTGGAAATCACTTAGCATGAGAATTAGAATCATGAAAGCCACCTGCTCAGATGGGGACTCTTACAATATGTGGATGACCTATTAATTGCTACAGAAACAAAGGAAGAATGTGTCCAGTGGACAGTGGAATTATTAAATTTTCTTTGACTGAATGGTTATTGGGTATCCAAACTAATCCAAACTCGAGTTTCCCACCTAGGATGTGGAATAACAGGAGGACAGAGAGAACTTGGAACTGCTAGAAAAGAAGCCATTTGTCAGACTCCACAACCGTTGACCGTCAAGGAGCTCCGGAAATTCCTGGGAATGACTGGATTGTGCAGACTTTGGATCCATAATTATGGTGTTCTGGTAAGACCCCTATATGAACTATTGAAGGGAAACCCTCCCTCTCTGGACTGGACTGATTCAGCAGAAGAGGTTTTTAGAAATTTAAAAGCAGAGCTAATGAGAGCTGCAGCTCTGGGACTTCCAGATGTGACTAAACCGTTTTGGCTCTATTCGTATGAAAAACAGGGAATAGCTTTGGGGGTCCTTGCTCAGAAACTAGGACCATACAGAAGGGCAGTGGTGTTTTTTTCAAAACAGCTGAGTGAAGCGAGCAAAGGATGACCCAGATGCCTAAGGGCTGTGGCAGCAGTTGTCATGAATATTGAAGAGGCTCGCGTATTTACCTTGGGACAAAAGATTACTGTACTAGTGTCCCATGTGGTATCAGCATTCCTGGAGCAGAAAGGAGCCCACTGGTTATCTCCTTCCCGTTTCTTAAAATACCAGGCCACCCTTGTGGAACAAGATGATATAGAAGTTATGATCACTAATATTGTGAATCCAGAATCCTTTTTGCAGCAACAGTCTATAGAACCACTAACACACGACTGCTTGACCACCATAGAGACTGTATATTCAAGCTGACCAGACATGAAAGAAAAACCTCTGGAAGATGCTGATTCTTGTTTTACTGATGGTAGTAGCTTCATGAATAATGGTGAGCAAAAGGCAGGATACGCCATTACCACTATTTCACAGGTAATAGAAGCTAAACCTTTACCTGAGAACACCTCTGCCCAGAAGGCAGAAATAATAGAGTTAACAA